TCCAAGGAGGTGCTTTAGACCACTGAGCCATCTCTCCAGCCCCACATAATTTTTTTTAAAGAGAATAAAAAATAGTAAAAAAGAAAAATAAAGAATTTTGCTAAATAAAGTAATAGGCATTCAACAATGGTTTTTATATTGTGTTTTGTTGTTTTCAAAGTCTAGATTACCAGATATAAGCATGCAACATTGGTAAAACAAAAAAAGGTTACAAGCAATTAAAAGAGAAGAAAAAAATTTAAGCATTAATGGCTCCTTTCAGTAGACCAACAGAAATCAGCAGTGCAATTATCCAAACTATTCTGTATATGTACATAAATACATCTTTTTTCCATCCTTCTTTCGTCCTTTTCCTTATCCCATTTGTTTTTTCCCTTTGAGCAGATTCTTTTCCTTTCACAGTTGTACGGTACCTTTCAGGTTTTATTTACTCTTTCAGAGTGTTACTCTAGCAAGACAATGATATTTACACATGTGAGTCTGATTTATTTCACTTAAGAATATGGTCTCTAGTTGCATCCAGAATCATTTCTTTATATACCAAATCCAAATAATTACATTTCTGATCTTTGATCTTTACTCTGATGAATAAAAGTAGTTTGTATAAAGTAGTTAATACCTAGCAAGTCAAATAAATGAAATGTTATACTTTTGTAAATGTCTAACGCAGATACCAGAAAAAAAAATGTATTATTAAAATATTGTTAAGATATAATATATATAGCTATTATACTCTAAGAGCAAATGTGAAATGGAACCTAATTATTTGGTAACTGTATTTTAATGAGGCAGAACTGGTGTATACTGAATGCATTTGAAACTATTCCTCCTGAAAAATCTTAAATCTAGTTGTGGTTGTGAGCGGTTGTAATTGCAGTACTTGGCTGATGCAAGAGGGTTGCAAATTCAAAACCCGGGCAACTTTATGATTTAGCAAAACTTCGTCTCCAAGTGGATGGATGGATGGATGGTTAGCTCAGTGCAAAGCCTCTTAAGTTCAATTCCCAGTCCCCCATCGTTAAAAGTTTTAAAAACAATAAAAACATACCACTAAGGAAGGCAAGCTTCAGGGTGAAAGAGGGTATTTATTATCCTTACATCCCAAATACACACACACACAACACCACACCTGTATTTCAGTATAGGATAGTGGGAGGAAAGGCTGACAGTTTAGAAGGGGAAAAAAGGATGAGAGGTTTAACAGATACTTTACAAAAGGAGGTGTCTGAAGTGTCTAATGAACATGGAGAAGCACATTCTCATTTTTAATGAAGGAAATCTCAAGTCAGACCAGTATGTACAATTGCTTTCTACAGAAGAAGTAGAAGGAACAAGTTAGAGAATACCAGGTAGAAGTGAGAAATCAGAACATTGTCATGTCATGCTGCTGTTGGGAGTGAGCTGTAATTTAGAGCTTTTTTTTTTTTTTGGCCTACGATGTGGTAATTACAGCAGAAGGTCATGTTTATATTTGTTATGACCCAGTGATTATGCTCCTAGATATAGGCACAAGAGAAATGTGTACATATGTTCACCTGAAGACAATCTATGAGAGCATTCATATAGATAGACACACACAAAGAAAAGGATACAGAAAACATTCCGGAAAAGTTGTTTTAACTGTGGAGCTTAGCTTCCTGAACAAAATAAATGTGTTTTGAGGTATAGAAGAAGAGAGAGAGAAAAAAAAGAGTATTCCTAGTAACCAAATTATTGAAACAGCTTATATAGCTATTGGCTGTACTAAGGATAAGTAATTGTGCTGTGGTATACAATGCAATACATTTTCAGCTGAGATTAAATAGCTACTAGGTATGGATGACTTCCCAGCATATTGTTGAAGGAAAGATGCTACACACTAAAGACAATATAGTATTCCTGTGATGTCAGTTTAGACCTAAGGGAGGTTTGTGGGCAGTGGCAGGACTAGGGATGGTGCTTTCTTTGGGCTGTGGTAGGTGGAGAGTGATTAGTGGGGCTGATGAACTGTGGACTCTCTTCTTACTGTAGCTCATTGCAGAAGCTTTGGGTTGTAGCATGCTCCAAAAAGTATATTTGTTTTGGTCTGAAAATCAATATTTCACTTTAATGATTGTATCAAATTTCAGAATTATTAGCAATGCCATGCATTAATATTCTAATTTTAGACTATGAGGAAATTATTTCTAATTCTTTCATGAATTATTTTTAGATATGAACTGAGAATTCGTTATTTGCCAAAAGGATTTCTAAACCAGTTTACCAAAGACAAGCCAACTCTGAATTTCTTCTATCAACAGGTATAAGAGTGTTTAATCTTATTCATTACATATTTTTATTTTACAGTTGAATTAAACCTAACATTTGAGAGATATAAAATCAAATATTGTGAAATTACAAATTTTTTATATGTGTTAAACTTTTGTATGCTTAGACAAATCTTAAAAGATACTTGTTTATGTGAAGAAGTCCAATCCATGGCCATTGTATTGTCTTTAATTCAAGTATAGTTATCAAGTCTGAAATAAAAAAATTGTCATATGAAAATTACTGTCTGAACTACCTTTTCTGAATAATAGTTTATAACAAAAGCAAATGTTATTAAATGCAGAATGAAGTAATAATACTGAAGATAAATACACTAACATTGTAGAATAGTCCCAGTAGACTAATGAATGTCAAATAAATTACAGTTTTGCCATTAATATACTTGATAACAATTTTATCTTGGTAAATATATTTATTAAACAGCTGCTTTTGACCAGGAATCCAGTATTATAGTTTGCACTTTTGTTTCTTTTATCTTGTCAAGAACTATGGACATTTACCTTTCATTGACCCTATGGTAGTATACACATAACATGTTGTAGAGAAGAGCCTGCTAATCCAGTGCAGGTGTGGAGTCAAGATGGCTACCTGGAAAGTGTCATTGGAAGAGTGTCCACTTTTAGATCACGAAGAGGAGTTGTGTTTTATGGGAGGAACACAGAGGGGAGGGAGGAAATGGGCTGCATTTAAGTTTGAGCTGTGGTTTGGTAAATAATTGATGAGGTTAGGGAATACATCTTGTAAATAGAGTTTAGGTTTTCTCCTGCAGATTATCAAGAGACATTTAAATTTTTTAATTAATGAATGCTTTAATCAGAATTTTAAATTTTTAAACAAGTGTATAAGGTAAAAGTCATTTCGGGGGTTGGGGAGATAGCTTGGCAGTCTTAAGTGCCTGTCTGGCAAACACAAGGACCCACTGGTGGTACATGCCTGTAATCACAGCACTGGGGAGGCTGAGACAGGAGGATCACTATGAGTCCAAGCTGCATAGTGAGACCCTGTACCAAATAAATTAATTAATTAAAAAATATTTTCTGCAATGTGAACAGACCTCCAAAACTTGTAGTTGAAATCTAAACATGTGTGTTCTCTTTCCAGCTGGCCAAATTCAACGCTTTCTCCCATCCAGCTTTCTATTACGATTAACCCAGACTTTGTATTCCTGTCTCAGCCTCCCCAGTGCTAGGATTACAGGCTTGCACCATCATGCCCGGTTTTGGTGGCCAGCATAGCACACCCTGGGATCCAGGTCCATACTTGGTCAGTTCGTATCAGTGTTGGTATGGGTCTTGGGGTCTCTCTCTATCCTTCCCTCCTCCTTCCCTCCCCC